CATATATATATGTATATATATATATGTATATGTATACGTATATATACATATATCATATGAAAATATCATACATACATACATACATAAAAGTAGCTATGAAAATATCTTGTACGTTGAATACGGCACAAAATTGCAACTTTTATCATATGCCACAGAACAACATCACAAATAATGTATAAAACACAAGAGATGATTAATATTAACTTATTAGCTCCATTTCTTTTCAAGGAACAGAGACTGCCACACAATCTATTAATGAGGAACTGATAGTAAATTATGAGATCCAATTACAAGTTGAGTCGCTCTGTGTAATTTGACTAATTTTGTTAACATAGGCTGAGTTTTGATTCGAGAAGCTTGACTGATCAGAGATCAGGAACAAGTTTTGGTCACCTTGACATTCTTATAATTGAAACAGAGCAGCAGTGCCTCAAACCATAAGAGGTCGATTCGATGACTGCCATTTGGAATACACTTGGTGCATTCTGTGCTTCAAAGGAGGATGCCTCTGTAAAGCTCTCTCCTTTTTTGAAGCAGATCAATGATGTTTCAGCTATCCCAGTGTGTGTATGGTTAAATATCATATCACCTTGCTACCTATTCCTGGAAAATTGGCAGCACCAGAGATGTATTAGCGTCTGGCCACAGAAGATCTCAATCGAGTTTTTTCTGGGCAAGTTTGACTGTGATAGAGCGGCTTTAAGTTGGAGATGAAGAACGCACTCGGCATAATTTATTTGATTTATATGAAACATGCCAAGGTGGATGTTCGAGGTGGGTAGTACACTCAACTCATTTACACCACAATATAAGGTGATGCCAGAATACATGTATAAGGTCAATACCACAACATCAGATAGCGATTGCCCTTTAGATTTCCATGTCAAGCCTACGAAGAGAAAGAGATGTCCATTTGACCATAAAATGAGGAGGGTACAAAAAAAATCTTATGTGTTTACGCACACATCCACATCGAAGTGAACTCCCACTCGTGCCCTCCGAGATTTTGTTTCTTTCTATTGAGACAATTGTGGGATCAGTTCATCCTTGGTAACTCGTCTTTGTGCAACTACAGCACGCACCTATCCCGCCTATGTCTGCGTGCACTATCCCTGAAATAAACTCATACAGCAATCATTCATGGCCTCAAAAAATTATATCAGCCTTACAATGAATCACTTAGGCTTTGTATCCTAAAGTCTTGTGAGACAGGCACATCATAGAAGATGCATCAATTACAGGCATCTTAAGATTTCATGTGGCAGCAACGAGTACCAAAGTACCTCCCCAACTTATACTCCAACACCAATAGATAGAAACAGCCACCTGCCAAGAACCTGCTTGTGTTCGGAAACAGAGCAGCCACCAACACACTACTACACACAATCAAAATATGAAAGAAGAAAAGCTAAGAGAAATAAGAACAGCTGTTCTTACTGTAAGCCGCATCCGTAACGTAAGAGCATTACAAGAGGGGCAAGGGAGAGAAAGGAGCTCCTAAAAACCATCGGCATGGGAGGGATCGGCAAGCACCATCAACCTGCATCTCTCAGCCAGAGCAGGTATGGGCATGCCGATGCCCCCATCCCCACAGCTTGTAGGAATCCCTGTGCTTCCTCTCCCTCCTCCCGGCGCCTTCTTTACCATAACATGTCACACCAATCCTCAAGACTCAGAGGGGGAAAGGGAGGGGTGCCTGGAAACCCTTGGCATGGGAGGCATTGGAAAAGACCTCACTCCATGTAAGACAAACATGGAGGGGCCGTAGGGTTTTCCAACCCAGCCCCATACCAAGAGCTTCCAGAGACCCGATCATCTCCCTTTCCTTGTCGCCTTGCAGCCTATTGCTTGCGCTGGCCACTACGGCTGCACCGGCGAACAAATATAAGAAGGCAGCGGACTCCTTCGAAGCGACGCCTGGTTTTGGAAGACCACCCATGACGCCCCTGGTTTTCGGATGCCACTGCACTTTACGAGATGGATTTGGGTGATGTGCAGGTGGACACGTGGTTTCTGATGCTTTGTCCTCAAAGTAAAGCATATGCACACCGTACGTTTGTTTAATGGCTTTCGTATTCGTGACGTATAGTTGGGCTTGGCCCATAACTATGCTATCAAATCAGGACGTACGATTAGGCTAAGGCCTAATGATACTGCCAAAGGCCCATTATTCACGTAACTTTCAATTATTTGCGTCACTCGCCAAACTTGGCAGAACAAATATGGACACGTGAACCATCAAATGATTCAGATCGGACGGACAGCATTAAAATATGTATGATATGATCAGTCGACAACGTTGATATTTGTGCTCCTACAGCAAGAAAATATGGCCATTCTGTAAACTAATGCACAAAACCTAAACAGGTAAATCTTCTGGATAGTTAAGTAAATGCACCTAAACTATTTTAATGTAATGTATTAACGGCTTTGAAAAAAAGACTAAGAATATTAATTATTTGTAAGATCATATCATTATATTGTACAAATGCAATAGACAATAAAATTTAGCCAGACGAGGAATGGTATACTCACTGAACCGACCATGACGGGGCTAAAGACGGGAAACCGCTTGTTGCGGTTCGAAACCGAACGGAGTCCAGCTTCAGGTACCCGCTGGACCGGACCGAGATGCTGTCGGGCGGCTATCGCCTGGCACAGGAGGGTGAAGCGGGAAAGGTAGAGACGGATGATGGTGGCATGGAGGCGGACTCGACCTCGTCGAATGAAACAGAGGATGAGGGACGGAGATGGAGCAGGAGGCTGGGGGAGGAGTCGCGATCGCCGGGCTGGCCTCATTGGGTGACGCGATTGAACATCGGTATGAGACACGGGAGAGAGAGGGGCGATCGATCCGTCTGATGCGATCGAACAGCCGCGGCGGTCGCCATCGGTGGGAGAAACTGGCGCTCGCTGCATCGTCCTGTGTCTGACATGGTCTGTTGAATGGAGACAAACCGAAGTGACGTCAACAACATTACTGCACAACGCATAAGAGGGAAACCCGAACCAACAAGACCCGATCATCGCCGGGAAGCATATTTGCCACAAAACTTTGAGAAGATCACCAAAAATCCGCTCGAAGGTTGCCAAAGATCATCGAAGACAGAGACGAGAAGAAACATCTACCGATCATGTATTAGCATTAAAATCGAGGGTCGTAGAAGCAAAAGAAGTCCTACCTTCGCCAAACGAGGAGAGAGAGAGAACGGAGTCGCATATATGGAGGGGGAGGACGGGATTGCGGAGTGCTGTGTTCGGTGCGAAGGAGAGCAGGGTCGCTCGAACGGTTTTGTAACCGATTTCGACCTCCGTCTTCCTTGAGACACCACGAAGCCCAACTAATTTGAGCTGACGTGGCGTGACGGAGTCCCTTGCTGTTGAGGCGTTGAGGGTCCCACATGATTACCTTTTTTCCTTTCTCAATTATTCGAATTTGATTAAAATTGATCGAATATTTCAAAAAACAAAAAAAACCGATCTATGCTTACGTGTTTTGTCTTTTTGTGTATATTCTGTTTTGTGTACGACTGTCAGAATTTGTCCCCCCACGATCTTCGAATTTGTCGGCTCAACCATCGTCTCAGAAATTTTATGCGTTTCATCATGCACTTTTCTTTTGGAAATGAAATTAGATAATGGCGATTGTTTGGGAATTTATAATGGATAAATATGCTATTTCTAAATTATATATGTAGTGGAATATATATGTAAATATGGATGTGTTAAGGGTATATATGCAAAACAAAAAAGGATAAAACCCGTGCGTATAAAAACCCTCGCCCTCTTCGCTTACGTATATTTCGGCCGCTGTGGGAGCGACAAAAGAAGTCCTCGCGCAATGATGTCGACGGCGATCCGAACCGCCGCGCCTCGGAAGTGGGGATCCCGTCACGGCCGCCGAGCTGCGATGGACGGTTTTTGCGATCGCAGAGTGACGGTGAAGCGGTACACCCGGAGGCGGGTGAAGGTGGCGGTAGTGAAGGCGGCGGATGCTGTGGTTCATACCCCCCCGAGGGTCTGCGCGGATTGCCGGACGTCAGAGACACCGCTGTGGAGGAGCGGGCCTGGAGGCCCCAAGGTTGCGTTTCATTCCTCTGTTAATCCATCGGTTCCCCTGTTGCCCACTCTGTTTCGTTTCCACCTTCGGTTTTGCGTTTTGAGAGCTTAGTTTTGCTTGGAGTGGAGGAAGTTATAGTCGATGGTGGTCTTGTATAGCAAATGCTTGTTACTGATTTGTGGGACTCATCAAACTCTTTTACGGTTTGAATATGCTATTCTTCCCCTCTGTATTGTTTATCTGGGAGATTTAATTGCCTTTTCTTTTAGTTTAAATGGATTTTTCTCTGTTTCTGATGGTTAATTGGCTCTGTTTCTTGGCAGTCTCTCTGCAATGCATGTGGGATCAAATACAGGAAGAGGAGAAAGGGGCTTGCACCACCCACTCCCACTTCATCTTCTGCTTCCAATAGCCAGGTTGGGAACGTTCCTGCCCCTGCAATGAAGGTGTTGAGCACAGAGGAGCTGAAGAGACGGCAGAGAGATAAGCAGGAGAGGACGCTAAAGCTGCTGCTTTTACAGCACCGGAGGCAGAGGAGAAGCCAGAGCGAGGAGAAGGCGGCAGTGGAAGCTGGTAAAGAAGTGGAGGAGGCTGCTCGTCTATTGCTGTCCCTCTCCTCCTCTGGCCTCCTCGTTCACTCTTAGTAATAGTACTACGACCTTTTTGATGAGAACTAGTTGTAGTACTCGTCGGCACTTTTCTAGCTTTTCTCGTTGTCATTTAGTGCAGTGATGGAAGAAATGAGACTGAGAACACAAAAAAGACAAAGGAGGAAAAGAAGATGTTTATGTAAACGCTAATTGCTAGTGTTAGCGTATCTAATGATAGATTATTGTCTAACAAAAAGCCCAAAAAGAAGAGGAAAGTTGATGTTTTAGTTTAACTCGGATGATTTGCTAGTGTTAGTGCAACTAATGATAGATTAGAGGGATGCGGAGAGTTCTCTCTTTTGCTGAGGAGGTGGCACCTTTGAGTTGTAAAGCCCTGCGGCAAGGATGTAGCTTGGTTTCTTTCTGTGTTGTCTTCTTCTCTGAGAGTAGACACAAAAGGTTTGGTGGAATCTGGCAATGTGTTTGTGGTTTCTTCTCTTGTTGTTGATTTGTCTGCAGCTGGGACAAACGTTTGACATGACTGCGGTGGGAGCTCTGTTTTCTGGAATGCGTTGTGGTGGCAAGCAGCAGCAGCTGAAGCGTTAAAGAATTATAGACCAGCAAAAACGAAGAAGATTGATAGAACTGGCATTGACATATGGAGAACAACCTTGTAATCCTAACCACGAGAAGAAAAGCCTAAAAAGGATTTCTACTGCTAAGAGCGGCGAGATTTGACCAGCCACTCTTCTCATCGACCACTGCACAGGGAGACAACGAGCCCATGCTTTATTCTGTGCATTGACGAGCTCATGTTCTCCAACCAAAAGAGCCTCGGGACTTCTGAAGAGGACTACAGTCTCAGCGACTCATGCTTCCAAATAGCTCCACGCCAGGGTAATGCAGCCGAGTTTTTCTTCTGGCCTCCCTTCCCATGTCGTCTGCAAACCACTTCGAACCTCGCGAGGATCCTCTATCGGCAGACCAACAAGGCCAAGAAGGTGAGCCAAAATCCTGTGCCATCTCCGGTAGCATTTGCTGCAGCTCCTCCATGCTATACTGCTTCTCCTAATATGATTAAGCCATGTTAGTTCCAGACTCGAGCTTGGATCTGTTGCTAATCGAGTAGAAACAGAAACAAGTCGAAGGAAACGAACACCGAGAGATCAGAATGAGTGTTACCTCTCTCCTCACCCTGGCCATTAGCGACACCATTTCCTGAACAAAATCATAGAAGCCCTTCGAGGTTCGAAACCAAACTCAAAATTAGCATTTTTTTTCGTTCTAGTGCTTATAATCATGGCAATTCAGCGGCGCGGTTTGCCATCACTACTTACCTCGACTTCTTCCTCGTCGTCTTGAAGTGGATCGTAAAGTCCAGAGTCGTACAATCTCCTCCTCTTCTCATCCGACAACACTGTTGCCAAGGAGAAAAGAAGATGAAGAAAGCTAAGAACTTTAAGCTCCTGCGTCTCGTCAGTGCATGTGTGTAGCTTAATATGTTAGGAGGAAGTATGTGCGATTCATCACCTTGATAAGCTTCGTGGATTTGCTGGAACCTGCGCTTGGCTTCCTCCACCGTCCACGGCTCTCTCCCTCTCCTATCGGGATGCCACTTCTACACATCCATCGTGTCCGTTAAGAATCTCCAACCAAGTTATCATGGACGCACAGGAGCGTACGGCAGAGAAGCATCAACATACCATGGCAAGCTTCCGATAGGCGCTGCGGATCTCTGCGACGGAGGCGTCCCGGCCAACGCCAAGCACGGTGTAGTAGGACGCCGGTCGGGCTTTATGCTTCTTCTTCTGCGGCTGATGCTCCGTTCCCATGGCCACCCCACACCACGATTAGACGCTCGCCGGCCTCTCCAACGCCTGAGATTGTTTCATCGAGGTACATATATAGAGAGAGCGCGCAAAATATATGGAGTGCGGATAGACATGAAGAGGGAGCATGGAGATGCTTCGCCTCAGGTTCAGGAAACTTCGCGAGCTGCAATTCCGGTGGCGGACGGCATGACGTTTACTGTGTGCTGGAGAATTTTTTGCGTCCGCTGCCACCGGACGTAACGATATCGAGAGGTGTTCGTTTTTCCAGACGGTTCTGGAGCCACCCGCATGCCAAGTTGTTCGGTGGAGATGATGACGGGTGGACTCGACGACATGCGTATGCGTCAGAATTGATCTTATCGGACTTCATCCATCCAACACCATCTAGCCGTCGCCCGAGTCCAACTCGGATCAAATGAAACGATCTCACGAGCCTGTGAGCGTTGATTTTGTTGTGGGAACAGTTCTATCCCCTGTTTTATATTAAGCTGATCCTGTCCGAATCGGATCATTGCTGAGTATAAATCCGATAACATTTGACCCGATGCGAGAAGGATTTGACCAACCACTTAAACATCATCAGTCCCACCTCTATATAGGTTTGCAAATTTACAAGGGTAAATAAGTGAAACCATGTTTATTTTTGTTTAATAATTCAGATTTAGTCATAGTAAATATTATTGTACCATAAGTAATGATTTCATTAACATTTGTTTACTCAAATAAATTTAATTATTTGATAATCAAGTAATTATATTAAACTAGTAATTCATATAATTTGGATAATAATAAATACTAAGTAATCATTATTAAATGATTTAAATCATTGACTTTCAATCTAATCAAGTCAAAGTTTGATTTGGATCTAACTAGCGAGTTATCGATTTGTTCTTATTATATCCTTATTGTCTTTGTATCGTCGATCTTCCGTCTTTAATAATAGCTCAATCTCTCAGTCTCTCTGTGCTTTTTGATCCCTCTGTCATCGTCGATCCTATCACAATCGTCATGTTCATCTTATTATATAAATTTTTAATTTAATTATATTTTTCTTATTAATATGTTAGAATGGAAAATCCAATATCCAATATCCACTTCACCCGCTTTCAATTAGGTTACCGCATGTCCTGTTATTTGGTAGCACTGTTGATTGTAATGAATATTTCATGGCACACAACATTTCGGCTTTTCATTGAATACTAGCACTCAACCAACATGAGATCCAAACAACAAAAAGGCACTAAAGTGCAGGAAGATCACCGAACAGAGGTTTCTGAACCTCTCAATTCCAAATGCGAATCACAATTTGCAATGAATTAAGCAGGATTTGGATTATAAACATAGTAGATACAACCTTTTTAGGATAATATACTAGGGTTTAGTTATTGCATCCAAGAAGTACAAAACAAGCATTTTGAACCTACAAAAGGCTGCTTTCGAAATACTTGCTAAGGGAATCCTCTTCCTTACAGAATCGGTAAACCACTTTGTAGACTTCAATTAGGAGCTTTGGGAATCGACTTGCAAAGTACATATCAAATCCTTGAGGAACAGGTCCAAGAGTTTCCTGCAGCCTCATTTGTTCAGCATAAAGAACAAATCCTTGAGGAACAAAGAGTTTCATTTGTTCAGCATAAAGAACAAATACCCTTGCAACTACTGCATTATATATGAGACTCAATTCACAAAGCACACAACATATGAAACACCCTCAACAAGTTAATCAGCATTAACAAGTGGATCAGTATGACACGAGCATTAAATTTAGTATACGAAGTAAAGAGAATAATGGGATGATGAACAATATTTTATTTGAGATCCAAGCAAATAAAAAGAGGTAAAAGTAAACAAACCCAACAAGTATATCCAATTCAAGTTCTTTTTCATACAGTTGAAGCTGAAGTGAAAAATGCTCCATCTGAAAAAAATGATGATGATCACACAAAATGGAAAAGTATTGGAAACCAAGTAATATGTTCAGCATACATATTGCGGTACCTAAACTCGCAACACATTCTGAAGCAAGAAGCACACTTTCTAATTGTTTGGTTCAACAAAGCGATAATATAACTACAAATATCTACATAAGAAAACCACACAAAGAAATTACTTGAACCAAGTTACACACACACAGCAAATTGATCTCAAGAATTTAAGATGAATATACTCAAATAAAAGGATGGAAGAGGCTATAAACTTTAGGTTTTTATTCTGTTTAAGAAACCATGTCACTCTTGATTTTGTATAGAAACATATGTCATCCTCTGTTGTACAAAGTTTTCTTGTGCTTAAGAAACTGTGTTACTAATGAATATGCATATAACTTCTTCCCAACTTCGCCATCATCTGTTGTACAGAGCAGAGCTGGTTCTGATGTATTTTGAAGTTTTCTTTTGTGAAAGAAAATAATATTGCAATCAAGAAGCTACTTCTAAGAAAAAACCAAATTGCTAAATTCAATCAAATGAGACTCAAATTGTCATTGTCTTCTATTCTTAAGGAAACAATGGCTATTAAATGGAAAATTCTTCACCGTTCAATAAACACCCAATGCCAACAAGATAAAAGATGACCTATAAGCTGTTTATAAAAAAATATTGACTCAAATATATATACAAAGAGACAAAGAAGTAACAGAGCAACACAAAATCTACAGTGAAGAGACATACGATGGAAAGGACAAAGCCGCACCTCATTATCTTTAAGAGTTGGCTTGAAGGAAACCCATTTGATCTCCACAAGTTAACATCCTTTCTGATACCTTTCACCAAGCTTAATTGAACTTTATCTTCGACCACAGAATTTAAAGTTTGATTTTCCACAGATACTGAATGTGAAGAAGAATCTGAGCATATGCATATTAAGTCACTTAGGCTGCAAATACAACGCTCCAGTGAGATATACAAAAAATCCAAATCTTGTTCTACTCCATACCACCGAACAATATTTGGGTGTCGATCAGATGCAGTAAGATTCTGAATCTCTTTAAAGGCAACATCATGATGTGCACGAAGAAGCCGTTTTACAGCAACTGGACGACCACCATAAAATCCTTCAAAGACGACTGTACCATTGCTCCCGTGACCGATTTCAATATTTGTAACAAAAAGTCTTCCAACCCAACGCCCATCACTATCACCATCAGGTATAAATGAATAACTTCCATTGACCTGAATTTGATTATGCCCATTGGTTTCAGCATTCTCTTTCATGGATAAAGTATGTCTGTCATGACTAACACTGATGGTAGCATTTTTCAACTTTCCAGACTTCCGAGATTTTCTCTTCTTAGGAACGACAGATTGCTTTTCCTTCAAATCATTATATTTTTTATCATTCTTGAACAGCTTTCTCAACCCAAAATAGCAAAATGCAAATATAGGCACAGAGAGAATAAATAGCCAACCATGACCATAAATAGATTGTGTTGACAAGCCACGGCCTTGCTGAACATGAGAATGTCCGTCGATTGAATAAGTATTTGAATCATCCAATGAGTTCCATGATGTATTAGAACTCTCTTGTTCGTGATAAAGCCAGTTGATTGGACCTCTGGGTCTCTGTCTTGAGTTTACAAAACTAGAATATGCTGTAGGAAATTTTGGCCTATCAAAAATGCAATTTCCCAGTGGAGATCCATTTGGGGAAGTAGGCAAGCCTCGTGATCCAACTAAAGAAATATGTTCATCGTTTAGTCTCTCCACTATCTGGTCATGGTCCATAACGGAATTTGTGACAATTCCTAAGGAACACTTACTGGCTGATTCGCATTCATAAGCTTGCTCATAGATCCAAAATTACTTGCACTAACAAAACTTGAAAACACCTAGTATTAGTTTCACCCACTTGAAGGTATACCTATGCATTCATCTAACAACTGTTTCCATAAGCTAATATAGAAAATATCAGAAAGCCAATGGTTCTTAGTGGGTGCAAAATGTTTCATCGAGCCACATGAGAATTTCAGGAATTACCATAATCAAGCTGCTGCTACTTTGAAACACATATTCGCACAAGTCGACATGCTTAAAAGAACGCCTATCACAGCTAGCAAATTGTCATTGTTACAGCAGCTAGCCTCTACTAAGCTGCAAGTAATGTCGAATTTCGAAAGGAGAGAGTCAAATTTCACGACAACTATCTTCAAATTCGTGTCTTGAACTTTAAAAAGTTAGATCTTTAACAAACACAACCAATCAAAAACATACGAGCGATAGCAGAAAACCCTGCTCTTACTTGAACCAATCCAAAATCCAAGTGCTTACCTTTCAGCCGAACTCAATAGCAACGCCGATTTGGGATCCGGGACAAAAGGAGGAGACTCCTCGACCGGTACCAAATCCCCCGACAATGGCCGGTCGGTCCATTTTTCTTCCTGGAAGATCTCGCTAGTAGGCGGAGCAGGAATTGAAAGCCAAGGAGTAGGAGGAGAAGGAAGAGGGGAAGCAGATGCAGCGGCGGCAGCTGCGGTCCCCCAAGATTCGCTCTCCGCCGACGGATCAAGCACCACGGGCGTCAACACGCCGGAGACGAGTAACCCTAGCAGGAGCAAGGCGAAGAAAGCGACGGAGCGCTCGGATGGGAGCATCGAATGGAGGGAGAGGAGGGGGAGTGGGGGTTGGTTTTGGGGAGCGACTAAATTGGCCGGGGATGGATCAAGATAAGGCGAACCCCACTAGGTCAAAACGGTAGAATGGGGCAAGGAAACAAGGAGTTGCCCTTCTGAAACGGCTGGGTGCTTTGTCGGAGCTTTCAGGCTGCGGAAAGAATGGTTGGTGGAGATGGTATTTTGCAGCTGGTGGAGGTTTCATGAGGAGCCAAACCATGGAGGGATAACACGGCACCACCGGGGGAGGAGGTGTAAAGGGAGGAGGGCGACGGATGCGTGGAGCGGTGCCATTCTGTTGCAGCCGACGACAAAAGGTGCAGAGGGGGGATGTTCTGAAACGGCTGGGTTGTTTGTCGGAGCTCTCCGGCAGCGGACAGAATGGTTGGTGGAGGAGGCGGCTGAAATAAGAACACCTGTTCTTACTGTAAGCCGCATCCATAACGTAAGAGCATTACAAGAGGGGCAAGGGAGAGGAACGAGCTACTAAAAACCATAGGCATGGGAGGGATCGGCAAGCACCATCAACCTGCATCTCTCAGCCAGAGCTGGTATGGGCACGGCGATGCCCCCATCCCCACAGCTTGTAGGAATCCCTGCGCTTCCTCTCCCTCCTCCCGGCGCCTTCTTCACCATCGCATGTCACACCAATCCTCAAAAGACTCAGAGAGGGAAAGGGAGGGGTGCCTGGAAACCATCGGCATTGGAGGCATTGGAAAAGACCTCACTCCATGTAAGACAAACATGGCGGGGCGGTAGGGTTTTCCAACCCAGCCCCATACCAAGAGCTTCCACAGACCCGATCATCTCCCTTTCCTTTTCGCCTTGCAGCCTCTTGCTTGCGCGGGCCACTACGGAAAGCATATGCGACACCGTACGATTGTTTGATGGCTTTCGTATTCGTGACGTATAGTTGGGCTTGGCCCATAACTGTGCTATCAAATCAGGTCCTACGATTAGGCTATGGACTAACGATACTGCCAAAGGCCCATTATTCACGGAACTTTCAATTATTTGCATCACTTGCCAAGCTTGGCAGAGCAAATATGGACACGTCACCCATCAGATGATTCTGATCGGACGGACAGCATTAAAATATGTATTCTACTTGTCGACCCCCCAAAAATAAAAAAAAAAAATTTTTGTATTGTAGTATATGATATGATCAGTCGACAACGTTGATGTTTGTGCTCCTACAGTAAGAAAATATGGCCATTCTGTAAATTAAGCACAAAACTTAGACAGGTAAATCTTATGGATAGTTAAGTAAATGCACCTAAACTATTTTAATGTAATCTATTAACGGCTTTGAAAAATATGACTAAGAATATTAATTATTTATAAGATTATATCATTATATTGTACAAATATTAATTATTTATAAGATCATATCAATGAGAGTGTGTCTCTCAATCGATCGGGTGGGTCCCGAGGTTGGGCTGGATCAGAAGTTGGGTTGAACGCGCCTCCACCGAGGATTTGAGCTGGCCTGGGAGTGGTCGTGTCCCTACACATAGGCCTGGATTAGGGGATTCCCGACTTAGGCCTCTCGGAGTTTAAGTCAGTGGTTTTTGGCTTTTTTCTCGGATCCTCTAGCCAGATGCTGGTCAACGGCTTTTATAATAGTGCCCGAGAGTCGATCGTACGTGGGTTTGACGTAGCGATCGACTCCCTGAGCAGTGAGTTCGTATCTTCGTATGGTCGCTGATTGGTATGTGCGAAACGACGCCATGCAACATCGTCCTGAACTTTCCGGAACAAGACTTGTCGAGAAGACGCCTCCTTGCACGGGCTTCGATCGACGTGGGAGGGAGGTGGCCTTTGTGCTGAATCTGTAGGGGTGTATTCGACGTGATGCTCGATTCATGTCCTGCGGTTTCATGTTTGCACTTACGCTAACGGTGGATCTGAGTCGTGATCGAGGTCCAAAATATGCCTTATCCGGTGATGATGCGATCGAACAGCCGCGGCTGTTGCCAATGGTGGGAGAAACCGGCGCTCGCTGCATCGACTTGTGTCTGACATGGTCTGTTGAATAGAGACAAACCGGAGTGACGTCAACAACATTACTGCACTACGCATAAGAGGAAAACCCGAAACAGCGAGACCCGATCATCACCGGGAAGCATATTTGCCATAAAACTTTGAGAAGATAACCAAAAATCCGCTTGAAGGTTGCCAACCTCATGATCAGCATTTCTCTTCCGATAAAAAATGAAACAAAAGCAGAGAGAATCCATCTACACAAAGAACGCACCGATCTACTCTACGCTAATACAAGAACTAAGAAGACAAGCATCCTAATGAAAGAGGAAGGATGCCTCATTCAATTCATCGAACTACACTCAAAGATCATCCAATACAGAGATGAGAAGAAACATCTACCGATCATGGATTAGAACTAAAATCGATACTAGTAGAAGCAAAAGAAGTCCTACCTTCGCCAAATGAAGAGAGAGAGAGATAGAGAGAACAAAACAAGCACTTCTCATATTGGTTCAAGTCTTTGGAACAGAAGATCTGAATCTACAGAAGGCTGCTGCATTGGAAATACTTGCTAAGGTAATCCTCTTCCTTACAGAATCGGTAAACCACTTTGTAGACTTCAATTAGGAGCTTTGGGAATCGACTTGCAAAGTACATATCAAATCCTTGAGGAACAGGTCCAAGAGTTTCCTGCAGCCGTTGGAAATACTTCAGCATAAAGAACAAATACCCTTGCAAGTACTGCTTTATATATGAGACTCAATTCACAAAGCACACAACACATGAAACACCCTCAACTAGTTAATCAGCATTAACAAGTGGATCAGTATGACACCATTAAATTTGGTATACCAAGTAAAGAGAATAATGGGATGATGAGCAATATTTTATCTGAGATCCAGGCCAAAAAAAAAGGGTAAAAGTAAACAAACCCAACAAGTATATCCAATTCAAGTTCTTTTTCATACAGTTGAAGCCGAAGTGAAAAATGCTCCTGAAAAAAATGATGATCAGACAAAATGGAAAAGTATTGGAAACCAAATAATATGTTCAGCATACATATTGTGGTACCTAAACTCGCAACACATTGTGAAGCAAGAAGCACACTTTCTAATTGATTGGTTCAACAAAGCGATAATATAACAACAAATATCTACATAAGAAAACCACACAAAGAAATTACTTGAACCAAGTTACACACACAGAGCAAATTGATCTCAAGAATTTAAGATGAAAATACTCAAATAAAAGGATGGAAGAGGCTACCTGGAGTTCTTTTGGAAGTTCCCAGTAATGATTCAACTTATTTCTTATTACTCGTAGAAGGTCACGTATGGAATCAAAATGATATTTTCTGTAATGACCCATGTCTGTAATGAATGCAACATCTAACTTATCATCCCATTTCCCACCAAATGCATTTGGCGCACTATTTTCTAACGATTTTAGCAGCTCCGATTCATTTTCTCTGTCTTCTAATTCAACACGATCGCTTACATCTTGTAAAAATGAAAGTCGTGTCTCAGAACTCCAAAAAAGAGAGTGACACAATACTTCTACCGCATTCAGCCTGATGATACACAAGAAGCATGTACTTAGCAAATCAGAAAAAATGAGCAGAGGGAATGACTGCAATGTAACCATGGAAATTGTGAAAAAAGGTCTGCTTGCCTCATCTTTGGGTCAGGCTGTAACAGTTGACAAAGTAAATGTTCAGCTTCTGGTATATGATCCACCAAGAAGAGGTCCATGCGATTGTGAATAATGTTTGCATCCCTTTCAAAATGATTGCCAAATGGATGTTTTCCTTTGGTAATACAAAAGAATAGTATGCAACCCAAACTGAACAAATCCATAGATCGTGTTTGACGCCCATGAAGAAGTTGTTCAGGTGCTTGCCAACCAGAGGTACCATATCCTATGGTAAATTAAAACATGCTTGAACTTGGTCCATTTCTAAGGATAATAAAAGAATAAGCACACTTGTCAGATACCAGAGATATAAAGTTCTCATTGTGCACTAACCAGTAGCATTACGGCTCAATGAAGACATGTCTTCAAGTAGGCATTTGCTTATACCCATATCAGAAAGCTTGGCATTAAGATGTCTGTCATTGCTTATTAGCACATTTTGAGGCTTTAGATCCCGGTGTATGATTCCAACTTCATGTAGATGTGCAAGGCCAGAAACTACATCTCTGTAAAACAAACACGATTAAAGTTTTAAAAACAACAGATCCACAGTATCACAAAAGATCAATAGCTACCAAAATTTGCAAATTAGCATAGCCAATTTCCAAAATAAATAGACAACACAAGCAACTTGAGGAAAAGAAGCAAATGCTATTGCCTTAAAGTTAGACATGTCAAAGGCCCCTATGATACACAACAACAACAACAACAACAACAACAACAACAACAACAAATTGGATTACTTAGATGAGGCTTTTCACTCTAATTATTGTATTAACTGTAACTTTTTTGCTAATTTGACATCTGCTGTTTTCCAGTCAATACTATAAACTTTAGGTTTTTATTCTGTTTAAGAAACTATGTCACTCTTGATTTTATATAGAAACATATGTCATCCTCTGTTGTACAAAGTTTTCTTGTGCTTAAGAAACTGTGTTACTAATGAATATGCATATAACTTCTTCCCAACTTCGCCATCATCTGTTGTACAGAGCAGAACTGGTTCTGATGTATTTTGAAGTTTTCTTTTGTGAAAGAAAATAATATTGCAATCAAGAAGCTACTTCTAAGAAAAAACCAAATTGCTAAATTCAATCAAATGAGACTTAAATTGTCATTGTCTTATATTCTTAAGGAAACAATGGCTGTTAAATGGTAATTCTTCACTGTTCAGTAAACACCCAATGCCAACAAGTAAGATAAAAGATGACCTATAAGCTGTTTATAAAAAAATATTGACTCAAATATATATACAAGGAGACAAAGAAGTAACAGAGCAACACAAAATCTACAGTGAAGAGACATACAAGGGAAAGGACAAACCCGCACCTCATTATCTTTAAGAGTTGGCTTGAAGGAAGCCCATTTGATCTCCACAAGTTTTAACATCCTTTCTGATACCTTTCACCAAGCTTAATTGAACTTTATCTTCAACCACAGAGTTTGATGTTTGATTTTCCACAGATACTGAATGTGAAGAAGAATCTGAGCATATGCATATTAAGTCACTTAGGCTGCAAATACAACGCTCCTGTGAGATATACACAAAATCCAACTCTTGTTCTACTCCATACCACCGAACAATATTTGGGTGCCGATCAGATGCAATAAGATTCTGAATCTCTTTAAAGGCAACATCATAATGTGCACGAAGAAGCCGTTTTACAGCAACTGGACGACCACCATAAAATCCTTCAAAGACGACTGTACCATTGCTCCCGTGACCGATTTCAATATTTGTAACAAAAAGTCTTCCAACCCAACGCCCATCACTATCACCATCAGGTATAAATGAATAACTTCCATTGACCTGAATTTGATTATGCCCATTGGTTTCAGCATTCTCTTTCATGGATAAAGTATGTCTGTCATGACTAACACTGATGGTAGCATTTTTCAAGTTTCTGGACTTCCGAGATTTTCTCTTCTTAGGAACGACAGATTCCTTTTCCTTCAAATCATTATATTTTTATCATTCTTGAACAGCTTTCTCAACCCAAAATAGCAAAATGCAAATATAGGCACAGAGAGAATAAATAGCCAACTATGACCATAAATAGATTGCGTTGACAAGCCATGGCCTTGCTGAACATGAGAATGTCTGTCGATTGAATAAGTATTTGAATCATCCAATGAGTTCCGTGATGTATTAGAACTCTCATGTTCGTGATAAAGCCAGTTGATCGGACCTCTGGGTCTCTGTCTTGAGTTTACATAACTAGAATATGCCGTAGGAAATTTTGGCCTATCAAAAATGCAATTTCCCAGTGGAGATCCATTTGGGGAAGTAGGCAAGCCTCGTGATCCAACTAAAGAAATATGTTCATCGTTTAGTCTCTCCACTATCTTGTCATGATCCATAACGGAATTTGTGACAATTCCTAAGGAACACTTACTGGCTGATTCGCATTCATAAGCTTGCTCATAGATCCAAAATTACTTGCACTAACAAAACTTGAAAACACCTAGTATTAGTTTCACCCACTTGAAGGTATACCTATGCATTCATCTAACAACTGTTTCCATAAGCTAATATAGAAAATATCAGAAAGCCAATGGTTCTTAGTGGGTGCAAAATGTTTCATCGAGCCACATGAGAATTCCAGGAATTACCATAATCAAGCTACTGCTACTTTGAAACACATATTCGCACAAGTCGACGTGCTTAAAAGAACGCCTATCACAGCTAGCAAATTGTCATTGTTACAGCAGCTAGCCTCTACTAAGCTGCAAGTAATGTCGAATTTCGAAAGGAGAGAGTCAAATTTCACGACAACTATCTTCAAATTCGTGTCTTGAACGTTAAAAAGTTAGATCTTTAACAAACACAACCAATCAAAAACATACGAGCGATAACAGAAAACCCTGCTCTTACTTGAACCAATCCAAAATCCAAGTGCTTACCTTTCAGCCGAACTCAATAGCAACGCCGATTTGGGATCCGGGACAAAAGGAGGAGACTCCTCGACCGGTACCAAATCCCCCGACAATGGCCGGTCGGTCCATTTTTTTTCCTGGAAGATCTCGCTAGTAGGCGGAGCAGGAAGAGAAAGCCAAGGAGTAGGAGGAGAAAGAAGAGGGGAAGCAGAAGCAGCGGCGGCAGCTGCGGTCCCCCAAGATTCGCTCTCCGCCGACGGATCAAGCGCCACGGGCGTCAACACGCCGGAGACGAGCAACCCTGGCAGGAGCACGGCGAAGAAAGCGACGGAGCGCGCGGATGGCAGCATCGAATGGAGGGGGAGGAGGGGAAGAGGGGTTTGGTTTTGTGGAGCGACTAAATTGGCCGGGGATGGACCAAGATAAGGCAAACCCCACTAGGTCAAAGCGGTGGAATGGGGCAAGGAAACAAGGAGCTGCCGTTCTGTAACGGCTGGGTGCTTTTTGGGAGCTCTCAGGCAGCGGACAGAAGTGTTGGTGGAGATGGTATTTTACAGCTGGTGGAGGTTTCATGAGGAGCCAAGCCATGGAGGGATAACACGGCACCACCGGGGGAGGAGGTGTAATGGGCGGGGGGCGACGGATGCGTGGAGCGGTGCCATTCGATCTGTTGCAGCCGACGACAAAAGATGCAGAGGGAGACAACGAGCTCATGTTCTCCCGCCCTTGCCATGTCGTCTGCAAACCACTTCGAAGCTCGCGAGGATTCCTCTATCAGCAGACCAACAAGGCCAAGAAGGTGAGCCAAAATCCTGTGCCATCTCCGGTAGCATTTGCTGCAGCTCCTCCATGCCGTACTGCTTCTCCTAACATGATTAAGCCATGTTAATTCCAGACTCGAGCTTGGATCTGTTGCTAATCGAGTAGAAACAGAAACGAGTTGAAGGAAACCAACACCGAGAGATCAGAATGAGTGCTACCTCTCTCCCCACCGTGGCCATTAGCGAGACGACTTCGGCTTCCACATCATGTTGGATCCGATAAACTGCGTAGCCCGTTAATATCATGATCATTAACTCATTAACTAATCAAATAAATATTATATTACCCACTACACTTGATGCAGAGAGGCCACCCGTCCCAACGTTAAGGCTCGGAGTTGTGCGGGCCGTCGTCGCTCCATTTCGGGACCCGAGTGTATGTTTCTTGGGTGACCTCTTTTCTGGTCGAGATAGCCTTCTTAAACCATCTAAAACCCGATGTCCCATCTCGAGCTTTAGGGTTTTACTACCAAAGAAGAGACCTTACTCCGCTCTATGGCCGCTTCCTCTTCCTTCTCCGCGTTCGCGTCCCTCTCCAGGCGCCTCCGCGCTCCTCCTACTAGTCACCCGCTTCTCCTCCCTGCCGCCGTACGCTTCTCCTCCTCCTCCTCTTCCTCTTCCTCCTCCGACGCCGACTCAGAAAATTTCCCCTCGTACACGGACGAAACCTCTCACCCTTCACTTTCCTCCCCCTCCGCCGCCGCCTCCGCCGCCGAAGATGCCACAGCCGTCGGCGAGACCCCCCAGCGGCTTCGTCCCTTCCAGCGCCCCCTAGAGAACGGCCTTGATCAAGGCGTTTACAAGGTGAAAAGTTGTAGCGAACCCTAACTCTGAACTAACTCCTTTAAACGCGGTTGACCATAGGGGTCTCGTTTTTGATCGAGAGGTCTGTTTGTCTCGTAGGCGATCCTTGTGGGGAAGGTGGGACAGCGGCCGGTGCAAAAGAACCTGAGGAGCGGGCGCGCCGTGGTTCTCTTCTCGCTGGGGACTGGAGGGATCCGGAACAACCGCCGGCCGCTTGACAATGAGGAGCCGAGAGAGTATGCAGAACGGTGCGCTGTGCAGTGGCACAGGGTCAGTGTGTACCCTGACCGGCTCGGCAGCCTCGCCCTCAAGCACGTCAAGCCTGGGTGAGTGTCGTCTGATGATATAGCTGAGTAATATCTAGTGATTTACTTTGACATTGTGATATGAAATCAACTATTTTTTTATCCATAATGCTGCTCATCTAAATGCATTGATTTGCCTTTGTGAGCTTTGTTTTCGCATCATGATGCCTAATGAAGCAGCTGATTATTTGTAATATTTGAAATGGGCGATGGTGTTCAGGTGACTTGTTAAATCTTATGTAAACAAGATTTGTTCTGTTGGTGCTAAATGGACAAGAGATGTCTAGGATGCTCAACCTTAGATTTCATTTGAAGAACAACTGCTAATTACAGTTCATCTAATGTAGGAAACTTGATGATGTAAAAAAGAAAAAAAAAGGCACTAAAGCATATCATCACTTCCAACAAAGATCAAATCTGGTTTTTTAGTTCTTTTTTTGTGCATTTGATCGAGGAGACAATAAGAGGGTGGACTATGGCGTTGTGGTAAGGTTGGTCCTTTTGTGATTAGTTCTAGTCATGAAAATAGTCTACACTATTTGCAGATGCAAGTTCCTTAAAAGGTGACCCTTTATGGACATCATCTTAGTGGGAGTCTTCTGTACTGGACCACTATTTCTTGGATACTTCATGCCTATGAAATGTTATTACACATGATCTATTAATGTTAACTTATGATATATACATGTAGGGTACATGGCTTCTAGACATGTCGAATATAGGTAATATCAATGTAATCTAAACTTTTGATTTACTATGATATGAACAATTCCTTTAATATTTTGTTTGTGTCTAAAGTAATTTTTGTAAATGACTAATATTATGTGATGGGGAAGTGCTAATTGTGATATGAGATGGATCGAATAAACTGACAGTTTGTTTTTTGCATCTCTATTCAGTCAGAGTTTGTATTCTTTTCAGTGGTAATTACTTGTTACTTTCTTTGTTATAGGTCGATTTTGTATTTGGAGGGCAACCTGGAGACTAAAGTCTTTAGTGACCCAATTAGTGGACTTGTTAGGCGCATAAGAGAAGTTGCAATCCGCCGTGATGGTACCTTCATTTCCTTTCCTTTTTGCTTTCTAAAGTTTGAAAACTTAGTAATGATCATTAACCTATAATTGTAGAATGCAGATTAGTTGTTCTTTTGCTAATTAAGAAAAGGTAGTAGGCAGAGATCTGATGATAGTATGCAAAATTTCTGCCCATTATTTTATTCTGCATTTTGGATTTTGGCTTCCAGAGATGAATTGAAAGCCACTGTTTCATTGATGATCACGGTATCGTGCTCCAGAATATAACTATTTAATAGTTTTTTGTCTGCCATAGTATATGCAACAATTCAGTTTGTTCAAATACTGAACAAGTCAAATAATTGATGAATAAACATTTTTCTCATTCAAACTTAGGAGCTGATATATCCGCAGGTCTTTGACCAAAATCTTGATGCTATGATGTGCAACATATTGCCAAAGTTCTGAACTAAAAAACACTAGATGAATTGCATTCCAGTACAAATTCCTCAAAGTCGCACTGATGATTAGATCTTTTGGCGACGGAGGGAGGGAGCCAATACTGTCCTGAAAAGGAAGCCAGATGTTAATGAATTAAATGCATGGAGATGGATTTTTACATGTAGTGTAATACTAAAATGGATCAAAACTTCTGCAGGTCGACTTGTTTTTCTTGGTGATGAAGGCAAGGCTGCTGAATCTGATCAAGGAGATCCAAAAAACGTTGGTTATTACTGAGACAAAGCTTGATGTTATCTTCAACAAGCCACTGCTGCGGATGCAATAAGGCACACTACAACCTGGTTGAAATCTCAAAGAAGCATCACCGTTGTGATTTCTTGTTGATTTCATTCTTCACTATGTGTGGAACCTCCTGACTTTGTGCTGCAATGCTTGTGACTGACTGGAAAATGGGTACCCAAATCTGCAGCCAAGACTAAATGCTACATTAACTAGAACTTGGCCGTCAGTTGTTGTTTGTTCATCATTTGAATCTAATTAAGAGTAGCCATTACTTAATAGTAGCTAGTACTGTGTTATAAGTACAGTAACAATGATTTTTTTTTCCTATTCTATGTCTTAAATCTAACTTTGACTATATTGTTTATAATTAGTTCAATAACGGGCTAATTATATGTTATCTTTTATATTTAGATTCTATTAGCATTGTGATTTTTATGATTAAAAAATTTATATTGAGATTTATATTTTAAAAAAAGAAATAAATAATCTTATTTGTTTTGATGTTATTAGTTGTATTGATGAAAAATATAATATATAATATTGTGTTAAATTTTTATAAAAATAATAAGTAAAAAGATAATTTTAATTTTTTTATTTTTAATATGTAGGATATTAAAATTATTTTTTATTGATAATATTATCAAAAATAAAAAATATTGAAATTATGTTTTTGTTCACCACGTATTATGTTTTTCGTTAATACAACTGTTGTTAGATTAAAACTATGTAATTAGTCCAACAACATTCTAACTAAGTGGCTATAACCACGTGTTGCTTTAACTCAATGCCACGTACTTGACACACTCCAGTGTTTTGGGTACCTAAAAGGCGCCACCGACCTATCATATATGCGGGTCCCACAGTTCAGGCATCCGAGAGAACCACGTCACATGAGGTAGTTTCCGAGAGACATTTTTGGTGTGTTAATCCTATGTTCATATAGGAAGGTAAATATAATTACGAAAATGCCATTGCCGTTTTCTTCCCCAACCTTAACTTAGCCGTTAAGTTAGTACTGATATCTAAATAAAAGAACTCGGAGGGTTGTAAAGACTAAAATCCCTTCCTTTCTTTGCTCTCAAGTAAGAGAAATATTTCCAAATGTTGGACTTGGAGGGGTGTAATTACAAAAGTGTGTTCTCCGTTTCGCCTCCCATTTAGACTTCAGCCGTTTACTCCGTTCCGCCGTCTTCTCTTGGGTTTTATTAAGCTTTTGGACGTCCCGACCAAAATAAGGAAAGGTGGAAAGTAGAGGGCCCTTCCATCGCTTCTCCGACCAAGAGAGACTTCGGGGCTCGGAAGGATTCAATTTAGGGCTTTGATAGGCCGAAGTGGTTCCGATCATCGTCTTTTCCGTGTAGAACCGCGGTTCCTTTGTTATTTCTCGCCACAAACCTGATCCATGTAGGTTTTGTTGCCATGTAGAACATTGATGTCTTGAAGTTATGAAAGGGAGCTACGATGCTTGCACCGCAGAAGAAGGGTTTGTTTCTTTCGCCCAGGGCTGTCGCAGCGCGGAGGAATGGGCCTGCGCAATCAAGTTTTGGTAATTGGGGCGGCGTGGTACCTGGCACGAGGAAAGGAAGGGAGGTGGTGGCCGGGAACGCGATTCCTCAACCGGAGGAGCTTCCTTTATGTGGTGATGGCGAGGATCGTGAGAAAGAACAGAGCGAGGCGCAGGTGTGGAGGCGGTTTAGAGAAGCGGGGTTTCTTGATGAGGCGGTGTTGCAGAGGAGGGACAGAGAAGCACTCGTTCGAAGAATATCCGAGCTTGAGAAAGAGGTTCAAAGGCCCCATCTTTTTCCTTTTCATCGATGGTTAGCTGTGGCGTGATACACTGCTTTGATTTTCACCATGTCTCCATATTCTTGATTTTATAAGCTACATTCACTCTGTTGCATTGCATTTCTTCTTAATTATAATAGGAATGCTACATCTCTTACATAACTTAAAGATTGATCGTAAATGAACCATGCATTTCTTCTTGATGTATGCTTACGAATGAGATAGAAAGGGACCATAGTACAACTAGTATAAGTCAAGAATCAACTTTCTCTGAGAGTTAACACAAAATATTGAGATGCAAATAAGACAGCGTGCAATTTTGAAGAAGGGACAACAAGATCACTTCAAAGGCCATGAACGTGGATAGACCTAAAGTTGCATATATTGGAAGTTCTATTAAAACGTTAACGACCCTTATTCTTTTAGTTAAATATTTTCTGGAACCAAATGAATATGTTGGTTATATTGCTTAGGAATATTGTATTACAGCTGTTGGAAATTGGCTAGTTTTTTTTTTTCAAATGTCATATCTGTTTTGCTTGTTATTTTCAAGAGGTATGAGGTCAAAAATGATGAAAGTCGATCTCGTCAGTGCCAAATGGTTCAGTTTTTTTTTTCCAAAGAGATTCCTGCAGTAAGGTATTCTAAAATTAAATTAGAACAAATAGTAGGATTTGTAAACTAGTTGTGGAAAGGTGAAATCTGAAATTAGGCCTTGGGCCATATGTTCTATAGCCTAAATATGAAATTTAGCAAAATAGAATTTGCAAATGAGAAATAAGAATGGAGTCCAGATGCATATCAAATCCAAGTTGAAACTGCACTTTTAATATTTAGATAAAGTTAAAGAAATTGGAAGAACAAAGGTGCTGATCCTTTACTTAGGAAGTACAATTTTAAGTCTCCATTCCTGTACTTATCAGAGAAAAATTGAAAAGAGAAGTTAAAAGCCATCTTCCTTTTCCATGATGAGATGCAAAAAGTGGATCGAGCCTTCTGTTAAGCTCCCTTGTTAAAGGAAGAATTGTTCGTTCAGATAGCCAGCCCAACCTTTTTCTGCTTTGTCTTTGCTTCTTTTTCCCTATGGTTGGATCCTGAGCTCTGCTTTGATTGGTCAAGGTTTTATCTTAAGTTTGTTAAGTGTCTGCTGCATCATCTGTTCTATACACATTATGAAATGATTAAGCTTTTTCTACGTTCTACAAAAATTGAGATGGACTCCTATACACACCAATCTCTTCTGTTTGAAATTCCTTATCATTCCTATCACATCATTCATGTGGTTGAAAACTGTTGGTTTTTGTTTAGTGGACATGGCCTGTCATAACATGAAGGTAAGTTGGAGCATGTTATCTGAATGTCCAGATAGGTTAAATAATCTTGAGGTTGCAAGAGAGTCTAGTCATTAGCATGTCTTCTTAAGATCCTGGCCACCTGAGTTATTGGTAAGGTGCACATATCTCAATAACACCAAATTCAGAAAAGAAATTTATATGAATTTCAAGAAGAACAAGAATGATGCATTTTTCATTCCTAGTATATGTTTTATCTGGGCAGTTAAAGTAATATTTTGGTGCTTTCACCGCTAAACTTGGTTTTTTTTTACTATTTAGATATCATGCATACCCAACAAATTGGATCAAATTTTTTCTCATTTTTCTGGGGGTTTAATAGAAGCGTGTTCAAGATCAAACAAGAAGAAAGAGTTTACTACGTAATTGTGCTATGATCATATGAAAATTGAGAACCATGTATGTCAGTTAAACTCTGGACCATTTAAACTAAATTAAAGGAATCAGATCAAGTTTTAGGTTCTAGGAAATAAAGGAACAGAGCTCCTGAACCGTGCCCATCCAGCATGCATGTTTATGCCTGATGTGCGAAGTACATGCTCTGAATTTCAGCGATTACTTTTAAATTTTAAGAAGATGTTGTATTTGTTTGTGAATTTTAAGTCAAAATGAGGTGACATGGGACCCATATAAAGCTTTGGGAAAGAAAAGATTGAGATTTAGGGCTCTGACAATGCTACCATTTAAAAGAATTGTTGAACAGATGCCTTCAAGGACACCCACTTGGTGCTTCAGCTAGTTAACTGTTTATATTAGAAACTTCTATATTGAAATTCATTGTTAGGACATAATAGAAAGATAAATGTTTTGAATTTACATGAAAAAGGGCAGAGAAAATAAGAAATTATATGCTGAAAATTATGGTGGATAATTTGGAGAATATTATGTTGGCATAGCTCTCTGTTAATTTGGATTGATTGTAGGTGGTCTTCACTAGTATCAAGCATTCTGGCTAAAATTCTCTCTCTGTATGGAAAAGAACATATGCCTCTAGACTTGACCAAGCAACATATGCATTGCTTACTTTCGTTGACTGAATTCGCCATGTTGCTTAGGTTCTAGAGGAGCCATAGGAAACAATTGCTTTCTTGTAAATTTCTTTTACTTTTACTTGATTAGTAGTAAAGTCAACTTGACGAATTGGTTTAATCATGATATTGCTGATCCTTGTGACAGATTAGTGTCTATGATTCAGTGAGTTCTTATTACCTCCAGTTCTGAAATATCTTTCCCCAGAATTGACATTGTAGAGCAGCCACTTGGCTGTTGCATTTAGTCCTTGTATTCTTTGTCTGAATATCTGTGTGAATGTTGGCATTAAAACTTACAACTGATCCATCTATTCATGAAATCCAGCAATTGAGTTCCTCTTTGTTGCTATTCTTAGTACAATTACCATAGTCACTTTCTTGTTCAATTTCATCTCTACTTTTTGGGTCAATGCAGACTGTTATTTATCATGGACCACATATTCTATTGTTATTTTGTGACATGAATTGGTTCGACTTCGAATTTATTTTAATTTTTTCCTAGTTAACATTTGATAATAAATTGTTATCTAACTGGTCTATTTTATCTCAGCTTTATCAGTACCAGTATCATATGGGGCTCCTTTTGATAGAGAAGAAGGAATGGGCTGTTAAATATGATAAGTTAAGGCAAGAAATGTCTGAGGCAGCACAACTTCAAAAGTGTATGCAAGCAGCACACATTGTTGCTGTTGCTGAATTTGAAAAGAGTGAGGGAAATTTGAGGCGGGCTATGGGCTTTCAGAGGCAGTCCATCATTCATGTAAATGACTAGTAGATGCTAGATAGTTATTTTCTCCAAATTCCATATTGCCAATAGCAAATGCATCTATTATGAAATAATCATCTGTAGCATCTTATTTTTCTTATTTTATCCTTGCTGTTCTTGGAATAGTATTTCTATGATAGGTAACACTTCAGTTCTTTTTTGCTGCAACATTTTTTTTTACTTGCTCTCCAAATTCTTTTAATAAATTGAATTGCTAAAATTTATGCTTTTTCATGTCTTCATATATTATGCAAATTCTGCATATGCCCCAAATTAATTATCTAGAAGAATTATCTTGTAATTTAAGTGAACATTCTACATATAATATAGAAAAAAATGAAT